TTCTAATATAGTAATTAAACGTTTAGAAACTTAACCACATAAAATTTTATCTTTCAAACGAAGGTCGGCAATAGATCTTAAATTCCTTCATTTAATAGCAATCTAGGTAGGCAACCTAAAGCATGCTATAACACATAACATTTAGCACGTATTAGCATATAAAGCATTTTTCCTAAAGTATGCTAGTGCACCTAATAGCAAGTAAGGTATACAACCTAAGGCATGTTATAATATAACTTTATTTGCACATAATATTAATTAAGGCATAGAATCTAAAATATTCTAGTGCTTGTGTCTTTATTATTAATTTCAGATATACAATCTAAAATATTCTAGACACATCTCTCACCATCATCGTTTAATCTCTAAGTTTAAGTCTAGAAATAACAACTATTCCTAGTGTTCTAAAACTAATGCTCTGATACCAGCTATGACATCCCCTATTTTTCATCAGAACCAAAAAAAAACTTTTCCTTACACTTTAAAATTATAGTACTTTTGTTTGCAGAAAATCCCAGTATAATAAAACTATTTCGTTTTACTAAAAAAAATCTTTGAGTAAAGATGTTGCTTCAAATTTCAAAAACTCTATCATAATCAAAACATAACATTGTTACAACTTAAAGACCTATGGTCTTGAAAAATAATGCAGGTTGTCTCTTAAATCACTTGGCATCCTAAACAAGTTCCAGTAGCTTTATCCCTGTTACCTGTGATGCATATAAATTGATTGGGTCTGGTTGGGAAATATGATGAGACACATAGGGTTTTCAATCCCACAATATTATTATGATAATAATTTATAATTATCAAACCTACAAAACCAACTATTACCAAACAATATAGATATATCTCATAACTTACGTATCTATAAAACAATATTGCCTATTCATAACCATTCTAACCGATTCTCACAAATCCTAATATGCAGTTATCAGGAAGAACCAACTCACCTGATGAATCGTTTAGACTTATGGTTTTACTTCACAACTAGGGGCTCCCTTGGCTAGTATAAATCATAAAGGCACTTAAGTCATCAGAGTATTTGATGAAGGATCCTACCCCATTTCATCTAATTCTGTGGTTTATTAATCCACACTATCAATGTAATTCACAAGACCGTCTAGAATAATCAAGTGTTGTCATCTCACTCTGGAAGATGCTCCAAATATACCCTCCGACTGTCTGATCTAGACCTGCCAATACTGACTATCCAAAAAGAGGACAACTACCCTCCGCTTTAAATCTCAAACATTACCCACCTATGAGACTATTCATATTTCCAACTTATTTCAATTTAAAATATCCTTTATAAGTCTTAATTAAAATTAAACAAGACTATAATGCTTATAATGCATTTCCAAACCGTTATCTTGTTTATACCCTACCATCGCAATACAGTATAGGACTATTCTTTTATCCAACTTAATTGGATCTAATTATTCTTCATATATCTTAGTTTAGATAATAGACAATACTACAAACCTTGTAATCAACTTTTAATATTAACTCTTGTTTAAAGGACACTTATAGTAACTTAGTGTATATTCTTAATACACAGTGTATTTTAAGTGATCTTTTAAGTAACTAATAATACTTATTTTTAAAATTATCACGTAATAATACCATATAAACATTTTAACAAATAATTAACCATAACTGGTTCACACAATACATGTTATCAAAAACGCATTTATCAATTATTCCAAATAATAAAAATCTAATTTCACATATAAACTTTCAACAAATATTTAATATTTTTTTAATAATTACAAGTATTAAATTATGTTCATGAAAGTAACTATGCACTCACCTGATGTAGGTGGAAGAGTCGCGGGAAAGTCAAATCTTTGACTGACACTTCAGATTCCCTTGTCTAGCGAAAACTTTGAACTTTGTGGGCAGAACTTCATTATTCAATCTTTTTTCTGAAAAATTATTCCAGGGCTCAGCTCATTATACTAAAACTACAAAAAGAGATGTTGAATCACAAGGGTCCGACATGCTCAGGGATAAGAAGAGAAAACTCTTAAATCAAGAGAATGGTGCAAGAAATATGAAACCCTAGAGCCTCATATTTATAGTAAACGAATTTTCAAGAAACACCCTTATAATTATTAAAACGACCAAACAGCCCTTAATAATACTATTTTAAATAGATTTAATGACATGTGTGCTAAAGTAATGTCGAAAGTATATATGTTATTACAAATCATAACTTCTTCATACGAACTCCGTTTTCAACATTCTTTATATCGTTGACTTTGTATCGACGAGTATTACAACTTTCATTTAGACCCCATCGGCTAATTCTCATTACATTTCAATTTTACAAATATGTACAAATTTTGCCGCGTTCGAAACTTAGGGACCAAGTTCCGCTCATATATTTCTCATACGAGCTCTGTTCTCCACTGTCTTTATATTGACGGATTCTTATTTATGAGATCTCCAACTATTGTTTACATTGTTTTGTCTTACAATCAATAGATTTTCATTTCGATTTTTGTCTCGCACACTCTAATACTGTGTCACACTCGAAACTTTGAAAAAATCATAACTTCTTAATACAAAGGTAGATTTTGGCGTACTTTATATCGACGCGTTCCTACTGACGAGTACTGCGACTTTTGTTTGGATCACTTAGGCTAATAAGAAACTTAGACAAATTATAGCTTCCTCATACAAAGTCAGATTTAAGATTTCTTTATATACACGTGCTCATGATCATGACTACTACAACTTTCATTAACATTATTTGTCCTAAATAATCTTTTATGTTTATTCTTTATTTTATCGCTATGATGATAATTCATATATTAAGGTTTTCTACAAATATTATATAATTCTAATATTTGTCCACATACGAGTATACGATAACTATTTATTAGCTCGTAACACGCATGAAGAACAATTGTCCTAATCAAGGATTTTTAATTGTTCTTCGAAATATATAATTATTATTATACCTTAATCGTCTAGTCCTAAATTGCGGCTGTTACACGAGTGCCTTACTCTTGACGGAATATACATTGTAGAGAAACTCTTTTTGAGTTTTTGCTATCTTCATCAACTTCCCAATTGCAAATGGGATCAAAGGCTTCAAAGGTTATCTTCTTAAACATCTTATGGCTGTTATTATCTTTCTAGTTCATGTATTTGCATCCTCTTGTTGGTTTTGCTAAAATGATCTAAAAATAAACTACTTATGTTTAAAGTCTTTCATTTCCTGTTCTTAAAAATCTTTTATAAAAAAGATCGTTTTTATTTATCAAAACGTATCATATATATATATATATATATATATATATATAAATATATATATATATATATATATATATATATATATATATATATATGGAAATGTTTAAATGAGAACAATTATGTAATCGAGAACGCGAGAACAAATCTGGGTCACATATTTCAAATAAACCGCTTAGCTGTTCTATCGTACCGGGAGGACGGAACAGAGAATATATAGATATAGATATATATATATATATATATATATATATATATATAGATATATATATATATATATATATATATATATAATATATATATATATATTCATTTATAAGTCTGTGTATATTCACACATGATTATTTATATATAAATATGGTGGATGGCAGTGGCGGTGGTGTTGGCATTAGCGGTGAAGGAGGTGTTTGTCAGACGAACATTCACATATGAATAAATATATACTTATTCAAATATAAATAAATATATTTTATATGAATAAATACATGTCTATTCTCATGTAATTATTTATATATGAATATCGCGGTTGGTGGCGAAGGTGGTAGTAGTGGCAGGGGTAGCAGTGTGTGTGTTGAATCTGAAGATCTCTATTTTATTTTAAGGTGTTGTTTGTTTTTTCGGAGACAAAATGTCTGCAGTCTGCGGACCACATCTGCAAACCTCTGTTGTAGAAAAGGTGGACCAAATATTTGCAGTCTGTAAAAAGAAGATTCTTTGTTTTTTAACGTCTGCATGTTGTTAAAATATACTGATATTTAGATATACCGATTTTTTTAAACATGAAAATATTACAAAAAACTAAAATTTTCATCAACTATAACTTCAGCGACTAAATAAAACATACAACTAATTTACAAATATAGTTTGGGGTGAGCAAAAACCAAATCGCTAAAAAAATTTGATAAAAACGCAACAAACCGAAAATAATAAACTGAAACCGATACAAAATTCGATGATGTAAAACTATGTTGGGATTCAATAATCAAAATTTTAAATGAACATAGTTATATATATATAAACTAATTAATCAATGATATTGTTTCTATCCTAAATAACATAAAAAAAAGTTACGAGATTTACTTACATTGCACAAAAATAAAAATATCTATAAAACTATGTCAAAATTATTTGGATAAATATATTATTTGAATAGAAAAACATATACATAGTCATATACATAAACATTTGGGTTAATACATAATTATGATATAAAAACAATAAATAAAGTAACAAATAAATACATAAAAAGAAAGGAGGAGAACAAAAGTATAAAAAATAAAAACGACACTAAAAATTACAAAAAAAAATATTTTTTTTAAAGTTAAATACATATTGTGGAAGTGGTAAGAAAATGCTAGAAGATGTTAGAAGACATAGGTTCATATCTGTGCCAAGAAGAGGACGCGCAGACCTTTTTAGGTCTGCGGTCTTCTAAAAAACATACGGTCTGCGAGACCAAACGTCTGCGCGTTGTCTGCGCGGCGCAGACATAAGAGGTCAAGAAGAGCTTTTTGCAGAAAAAAAACAAGCACCACCTAAATCTCTACGGAACACACACACACACACACATATATATATATATATATATATATATATATATATATATATATATAATATATATATATATATATATATATATATATATATATATATATATATATTATAATAGACACACACTTGTGTGTGTGTGTGAAGCCAAGGAATAAATATATAGCTTACTACTTACTACTCTTGTGATCCTCCATAAATACTCTCATCCTCCGATCTCTCACGCCCTCCCTCCTGTTGCACCCTGCTCAATTACACCAAGAAAATTTATGTGATCATGGTATGTCCATAATATATATACCTTCTTTTCTTCTTCAACAATTTTATGTCTAATTTTCTATAACTGATCGAAATTCTAGTTCATATCAATTTTGAATTTTAAGCAATTATATGGTATATATAGGGAATTCGAAAGCCAGCTTGGTTAGAAGCTCTCTATGCACAGAAATTCTTCACAGCGTGCCCGATTCATGTGAACTCGAAGAAGAACGAGAAGAATATATGTTGTTTAGATTGTTGCACTAGCATATGTCCACACTGTGTGCACATTCATCGGTTCCATAGACTCCTTCAAGTTCGACGCTATGTATACCATGATGTTGTTCGGATGGAAGATCTAGAGAGGCTTATCGATTGCTCGAATGTTCAAGTGGGTGTCGAGTAACAAGAAATTGTTACAATTCTTTCATAATTTAGCATAATTCATCATGAATTACTTGTTAGCTTGGCTGATAAATATTTTTAATTATCAGGCTTATACCATTAATAGTGCAAAAGTTGTGTTCATCAAGAAGAGACCTCAGAACAGGCAATTTAAGGGGTCAGGGAATTATTGCACTTCTTGTGATAGAAGCCTTCAAGAACCCTTTATCCATTGCTCTTTAGGGTGTAAGGTATAGTAGTTCAATCCCTAAAATCTCTATATTCCTCCGATTCATAACATGGGATCAAAATTCAAGCATTGATCAACCGCAATGACTAATTTCAATTCCGCAACTCAAATTCAAACTGATCACTTATTACTTTAACTTTTTACTTGAAAGATTGTGTTATAGTGGGATATAAATTTTCCTTGAAAGCTTTACTGTTAAAACAAAAAACAACATCGATGCTTAACCTTGCTAGAACCCAAAATAACATAATTTCATTGTTATTTATTCCCGTTTTACAAACTTGAATCGCAAAATCGATATCATATTAGCAAGTTGCCCCCCCCCCCCCCCCCCCCCCAACACACACACACATATATATATATATATATATATATATATATATATATATATATATATATATATATATGTGTGTTTGTGTGTGTGTGTGAGAGAGAGAGAGAGAGAGAGAGTATTTCAAGAAAAATTTCTTGTTTGATTATTATAATTAGCATACATTGATTAAAGCTTAATTGAGTTTAAATCTTTATGAATATTGTAGGTGGATTTTGTGCTCAAACATTACAGAGACCTCACACCCTTCCTAAGGGTATGCAATTCATTACAGCTTGGTCCCGATTTCTTCATTCCTAACGACACTGGGGATGATGAAATGACTAACGAGACACCTCACTCGACCGTTGTTGACTCAGATGACCCGATGAGCTCAGGGTCGGGCTCATCTGGGTCTGAAAACATGAGCATGATGTGCACCGGGTTCGTAAGGAAGAAAAGGAGTGGACTTTATTCTTGTGAAAGGTTTTCGAGTAAGGTTCATTCTGAAGAGGACATGGCGACAAGCATGAGTAGAAGAAAGGGAATTCCTCAAAGGTCACCAATGTGTTGAGAAATGAGAGAATTAATAATATTTAACATCTTTTTTTTTTCTTTCTTTTTTTCCATATATTTTATAAATAGTTTTAATTTAAGACACTTTCACTCATGCAGTTCTCTCTCACTCTCTCTAGTATGATGTTTTTTATGGGTTAATTAATTACTTGGTCGGGGTGTTTTGTCTTAATGGCATCACGTGATTCCCAATTCCAAGCAATGGTTTTGTACATTTTCCTAAAAATTCATCTTAATATTTCGATTAAGTTATTATAAATTAAAATAAAGAATTCGAGATCTTTATTTGTTTTCAATTCTCCCAAGAATTGATGAGCCTCTTAAACTTGCTAACAATGAAATTTGTAGCAGAACTTAAACGATCTCAATCAACCAACGAAATCCGTTATTATAATATAAAAAATCACAAATATAGAAAAAAGAAAAAAAGTTGGGAAGCTGTTGTTCATAAAATTGGAGTGAAGTTATAATGGAAAAGATCCAAAGGGTAGACAATGTTTTGGAACTCGAGTTTTAAACTCTACTTTCGAAGTTTTTTGCATCCCAATGTGTTCTATAAACCGACTTAATGTGCTTCAGATTCTCTGGTTAGTTTAATATTTTATCATTAACCGTATATATTTTACTAAAATTTGATACTACTTCTTGCATATATATATATACTTTATATAAGAGTTATATAAGTGTATAAAAAAACATAACTAATATTTGAAGATCTCAAAATAAATTATTGAAAGAGAGATGATTCTTAATTATAAAATTTGATTCATATATAATATTTTTACAATTATCAGTAAAAACATATATTTTATATAGATCGATTAATTTCTTATATTGAAAACTGTACTCTTTATTAAAAACCTTAAATCTCTTGCATTGACTTCGGAAATTATTATGTTTCTTTGTTTTTGATGATATCCCCAAATCAATGTTCTAAAAAAGGAAACTTAGAACTTCCTTTAATTGTTATAGATTATAGCTCATAGTTGTTTAAGATATAGAAGTGTTCTTTATTATTAAATAAATAATCATTATTAAACAAATAACCAAGCAATCAATTGTTAGCATTGGATTCCAAACGATTAACGGTCAAAGACGGAGATGTATATTTAGGAGTTGGACGTGTAGGCATTTGATTATAGCAAAAAACTCATTTTTTTTCATTTTTTATTTGACATTATTTTTATTGAAAAAAAAAAACTAAATATACCAAAATTTTAATATTTTGGTCTCTATCGATAAACATCAATATCGATATATATATATAATTTTTAGTTTTTTTTTACCTAAAAATCGTTCAGATTCATATTATAAATGTGAAATGTATATAATTCAGTTTTTAACATTCAAAATATGAATCTAACATTCTATTTCTACTGAATTCGAATACATGTTCACATTTGCATATGAATCGAAGTAGATTCATTTGTAATTTATATTATTTCAATAGGAATGAGAAATTCGACAAGAACGAACTGGGAATGGGAAGGACCAATATTTCAGCACCTTGGGATGGTTCTCGGGTATTACATTGTGTTTTCTGGTTCCCGATTCCATTGGTTCCGCTAAAAAGCCGGATTAGAACAAGTTTATGGTACGTTGTGTTTTACAAATCGTATAAAAAATTATAAAATCTTGTGAACATGAGGTTGGTGCAATTTAAAAGCTATAAGAATCTACTTTGTTACTTATTCACAAGTCTAAAAATGATTTTGAGTGGAAAATAGTTTAAAGAGTGCTATAATAGAGGGTTGGAAAATGACTTAGGGGATCAATCTAATACTTGATATGTTGTAAAAATTGAATAAAATCAAAGAAAAAACCTATGAAATTAAGTATTGTGCCATTTGAAAGGTGTAAGAGACTATTTTATTTCTTATTTAGAATTAGAAAACCATTTTAGTGTAAAATGGCTAAAAAAATGCTTGACAGAGGTATAGAAAATAACATTAGCGAGAAATTCAATAACCGATGTGTTGTAAAAATCATATAAAATAATAAAAATATTTGTGAACATAAGATTGGTGTCATTTAAAACTGTCAGAGCCAACTTTATATTCGTATTCGAAAGTCAGAAAGTGATTTCGTATGTATATACGTATATGGATATGCATATATATTAATCAAATACATATATCACATAAAAAATTCAACATCAAAAAACAAACAGGTTTAGTTTAAGACATTCATTAAAAAAAAATGACTTTTATATATATATATATATATATATATATATATATATATATATATATATATATATATATATATATATGCACTTACATGAGTATTCATATTTACATATGCATATGCACCTATGCATATGTAGACATATGCAAAAAGTTAACTTTTTTTTTTCAGGGCCTCTTTTAGTTGTTAAATTGGGATTTTTTTTTTCAATATTGTATATAGAAAAATGTTTTCATCACCTTTTAGTCTTTTTAAGTTTGTTTTTACGTTTTCATTTGATATTAATTTTTTTTCTCTCTCTTTTTATATATATATATATA